GCCTACAAAACAAGGGTTAAAATGCGCCAAAAACGCATTATATCATTCTGCTTGACTAATTGATTCTTAGTTGAGATTAGGGTTTGAGATTCTTAGGTGAGATTAACGTTTGGGAACTTAAGGGTTAGGATTTACGAGCTTTTGTGATTCTTTGTTACTTCTTAAGTGTACTTAAGTACTTAAGCGTTTCATACAAATAGTTTGCTGCTTGATTCTGTGGTTCTTTGTTAGTGATGATTTGCATGTATTTACCCTTTTTGTGACTGTATCATTCTCATGAGTATACTCTCTGACTGTTTTTTGCTTGTACACAGTTTTATATCCGATTGGCAGACCATGAAAAAGCCCTAAAGCTTCAGGCTATTCTAGAGGCGCTAGACTTCAACCAAGTTATCGTTTTGGTCAATTCTGATGACACAGCATGCAAGGTCAACAGTCTTGTCAGTGGCCCGAGCTGCCTATACCCTTCAACCGTAGTTGTCTCGACGATGGCAGATGAAGAAAAGACACTGCTTGAGACGTTTCTATGATGGGGAAAGTAGAGTTCTTGTTTCAAATGGGTTGGTGTCATTCGGCCCAAGAGTCAATATCGTCATCAATTTTGACACGCCACTGTCGGTCGATCAGTATCTCCGTTCTGTGGGAAGGAGTCACAACCTAGCTACTGTATGCATCACTTTTGTAAGTAACGACAGAGACTATGAGCTGATTTCGCAGGTAGTTTTCTTTTTATCCTTCATGGATTTTCAGTTGTTTTTTTTAACAGTTTGTTTGACCACTAAATCGTTCATGGATTTAATAGGTGGAAAGAGTCTTTGAGGGTATCAATATTATGCCTCTTCCCGAGGAAATCGATCCCGCTTTACACATGCACCAGCATTGAGCTTCTTACTGAAAATAGCTGTTTCTTTGTTAGTAGATTCCTCGGTGGTTCATATTCAAATACTACTAAATGTTTTTTTGTTCATATTCAAATACTACTAAATGTTTGTGGCTAGTTCATATGACTAATGGACGAATGTATTCTTCATCATGAATTGTGACCATAAACCATTGACCATAAAATCTTGATTTCACATAAATCTTTTAGAAAAATAGAGATGTATAAAGGTGAATTTACGATTTCAGTGATAAATTATTTAAAAAGAACATAAATCGACCACATGTCAAACTGATAAATTAATGATATAGAAATGCAACGAATAAATCTTTGGAAGAAAGAAATACAAAAAAAAATCGGTACAGAAAATATAAAATAATCATGGAACTAATAATGACCATTTTATATTATCCATATGGATAGTGTATTTTAAAAATAATTTGACAATGAATCTATACCACTAACACCGTCCGTATAGATAAAAGGTCTAGCTCTGTCGTCGATATTTAAAATTATAATTGGATCCAAATTGCTTATTTCGTCCAATTGAGTTGTGATTCAATGGCCACGAAAACATAAAACTCTGATGATTTTATATTGTCCATATGGATAACATACTTTCTAAATAAACAGACAACAAGATTTCACCATCCATGAACATTAGACCATTAAATCTTGTCTATATGGACGAAAGTAGTAATCAACAAAAAAATTGCAGAAAGTTGACTCATTTTGTTGTCAATACATTTGTTGAAGATGTGTTTGTGAAGGATGTTGGTAACATTTGCTTGGAATAATTCTATAGGTACCAAGAAAAGTCCCTTGAGCCAAAATCAGCTCATGAAGTATCGGTCAAATTTCAAACGTGTGTATCTTGAAAACTAATTTCCACATATACCTTAGCTTCTCGTTCTTGTTGATCTAATATTTGAAAGAAAATTGGTTTAGACTAATTGTTCCAACCTAGTACCGAACAAAACTTAATTAGGCGAATAAAAACCATGCAAGAATTTACAACTTTAAAACGGTTTTTGTACATCAATCCCAACTTTCTTATCCATAAGATTCATTTAAAATGGTCAATGGTTTATGGTCACTAGCCATAATGAACAATATATTCGTGCATTAGATAAAATGGTCATGGTTCCATCTTAGACACATAACGAGACCCAACAACTTGACTCATGTACATCCTTAAGCTTCCCTTAAACCGAGAAGTAGACATGGAGATCGCGGTGAAGAGGTTATCGACAAACTCGGGACAAGGAATGGAAGAGTTCAAGAACGAGGTCAAGTTGATATCAAAGTTGCAGCATCGGAATCTCGTAAGGATCTTAGGATGTTGCGTTGAATTTGAAGAGAAGATGTTGGTATACGAGTATTTACCAAACAAGAGCCTAGACTATTTCATATTCAGTACGTTCCAACATTTTCAACTACAGATTCAGATTCTCCCATTTCAGAAAGCTCAATGACTTGGATTCTTTCGTATTTTATCGTCCTATTAGATGAAGAGTGGAGAGCAGAGCTGGATTGGCCAAAGCGGATAGGGATAATCCGAGGGATTGGTCGAGGAATCTTGTATCTTCATCAAGATTCAAGACTGAGGATCATCCACAGAGACCTCAAGGCTAGCAATGTACTTCTTGACAATGAAATGATCCCCAAGATTGCGGATTTCGGCATGGCTAGAATCTTTGGAGGACACCAAATCGAAGGAAGCACAAATAGAGTCGTCGGTACATAGTGAGTTACTCTTTGTTAATCCCCAAAAAACATAAGCATGTATCCTTTTTATTTACCAATCTAAAAGCAGTTTCAAACTCATTGTGCAGCAGATACATGTCAGCCGGAGTAAGCAATGGATGGCCAATTCTCCATAAAATCCGACATCTACAGCTTCGGAATACTGATCTTAGAGATCATAAGCGGAATTAAAAACAGTACTGTCTACAACGAATCTTCGAATTTAGTCGGACATGTAAGTGATTTGTGCATATTTTTTACATAAACAGAGGAACGAAACAGAGCATACGCAAATGTTGTTTCTTGCATATTGTAGATTTGGGGATCTATGGAACAAAGGTGAAGAAACAAAGATCATAGACGAGTTAATGGATCAAGAGACTTATGGTGGAGCGAAGTCATGAAGTGCATACACATTGGGTTGCTTTCTGTGCAAGAAAACGCTTCGGATAGACTAGACATGTCATCCGTTGTGTTCATGTTAGGTCATAATGCCATTGATCTTCCATCTCCGAAACATCCTGCGTTTACGGTGGGAAGGAAGAGAAGCGTTAAAAATGCCGGGAGCTTAGGTAATTGGCCTAGTGGAGAAACCGGTAGTTCTTTTAACGTTACTCTCACCAACGTTCAAGGTCGTTAAAATTAAGTGTTTTTTTTCTTCTTCTTTATAGTGAGCATGTTCGTTTGCTTGACGCCGGCGTCTGCAGCTGCGTCGGGTGGCTAAGCAATGTTCGTTCGCCTGCCGCAGACACCTGCGGTTAAACACAGCAATCGGTCGCAGCGTCTAAAATTTTTAAACGCCATGTTTTTTTAGCGTTAGATAGAGATTTACTGAAGATGAAACTAAGTAAAGGCAAAAATACCCTTATAATAATTTGCTAATGACAAAAATATCCTTTACCCTAAAACAAATCTCAGTCTCGATCTCATGTTACTCTCCCTTCTCTTTGCCGAAAATCAACATCACCATTCACCTTCTTCAAGTTCGTTTCTCTTTGCTTATTTCGGTTTCTTATGTTCTGGGTTTTCTTATATTTTTGTTTGTTGATGATTTGTCTTTGATTTGTTGGGCAATCGATAGGTTATTACTCATTCTCGCTGGGTTTAACAGTCTCAAAGCTTTCGAGAAGAAAAGAATTCTTATATCGTTGTTGTTCTCAGACATGTAATTTCGAATTTCGTCTTTTCTCGTCGATCTGGGTTTTGATTTTTGTTTCTCTAGTTATGGTTTCACTGCTCGGATCAAGAGTTTTGGGCGATAACAATGACTTAAGACCAAGTGCTTAAC